TTGCCATGTTCTTTCTGTGGGTTGTCTTCATTTTCAGGGTCATCAAGAAAAGCATGAAGTATTTCTTCATTGTCTCTGATTTCTTCTGCGAATTCACTTTCATCTTCTTGGCCTGCAGGTTCAGCCACTTGGACGCCATGGACATAAGTGGTAATATGCTCATAGAAAGCACGATAATTTTCAGGAATTAAATCATGGTCTAGAAAATATTTCAAGTCTTTGACAAGGTTTGGCTTTAGAGGCAGGAGTCCGTCATAAGCTTGCGGTGGTTTGAATGTCAACCAGTTGTATCGTCTACCAGGCTTTTTAAGGAGAACCTCGAAACAAGTTTGAGGATCATCCAACTTACGCTTGTAGTACACCTTTCCTGGTGCTGCGCAGTCAAGTATGACTTCATGCAACTTAGAGATGGGGACTTTACCCCATTTGAAGTTTTGTAATGCAAGTTCTTTAAATGATACTAATTGTTCCTGTTTGACTTGAATCACAATATAAGATGGCTTCTTTACCTTAGCTGAAAGAATGTGTCCGTACCATTGCATTGGAGTGTAGATATCTGTGTTTCTTGTTTTCCTTTCAATGCGAGCATGGACGGAGTCACACTCCATCTGTGTGTGGCCTTTCTGAAGATATCGGTGCGTGATCTTGATATTAAATTGTTGGCTAACAACAGAGTACATTGTAAACAATATCTGGTTTTTGTTTTGAGCCCAGCAAGAATCACTGAAAATGAAAAATTCTGTCACTCCATTCTTAACTTCTTCCTTGATAAAGTCATACACACAACTTGATATCTCAACAGCACCTCTTCCCCCAATAGACATATCCCATACATAACATTTTGCAGTTTTCTTGGTACAATCATACACAGTAAAGTTGTAACACGATAATTTTCTTTTGTAAAAGAAACCTCCAACTTCGCTTTTAGGGCAGAAGAAAACTTTTTGTAAGTCAAAGCATATTACTTTTACTTTATTATTACTGTTAGCTTCACTTCTGCTGAACTCTTTCACTTCTTTTCTTATACTTCTGACTAAGGTCTTTGCTTGCTGATGCTCGGTATACTCCTTCTTCAAAGCTTCATTTTCCATCTGCTTTTCCAGGGAGAGATAATTCCATCTATGACACAAAGAGCACTGATCTTTTTTCGGCTTATGAAAGCCAAGATTAAAAGAACAGTTGAAAATGTCTCTGTATATGCGAA